CGGCTCATCTTTCTCTAATACATTCATGGTGTTATTTTTAACATTTAGAAATTGAATCTATCTGCAATGTGTTTCTGGATGCACATGGAAAGGGATGGGAATCTAATTATGCCAGCTCCAGTTGTTAAATAAAACCTGTTCTTTCCCCCATTGAGTTGAAAAGCTACCGATACTCAGCGTCCATTCTTAGGTCTGTGACTCCTCTGTCAGGTTCCACTTATCTATTTACTTATTCTGTGTGTTCTGGTGTCAATACCCTACTGTTTCTATTGATTAAAGTAACCTTATAGTAAGCTTTACCATCTGGTCGGGCAACGCCTCCCACTACCCTTGCTATTCTCTTTAAAAAAAACATTTTGTTAAACTATTCTTTAACTTCTTTATGAAGTTTTTTATTGAAATGTGTATCTGTACCATAAAATTCAACCTTTGAAAGTACACAATTCAGTGGCTTTTAGTATATTCATAAAGTTGTGCAGCCACCCCCACCATCTAATTCCAGAACACTTTCATCTCTTTTAAAAGAAACCCTGGCTTCTTCGTGGCTCCTCCCCATTTCCTCGCATCCTCCCCAGCCCATGGCAATCGCTAATCTACTTTCTGTCTCTGTGTGTTTGCCTGTTCGGGACGTTTCATATAATCATACACTGTGCGGCCTCTTGTCTCTGGCTTCTTTCACTCAGCACAATGTCTGCACGGTTCATCCATGCTGTAGCATGTGTCAGTGCTTCTTTCTTTTTAAGGCTGAATATATTCCATTTTATGCTACTTTTTGTTTATCCAAGGATAATGATAACATACGCATTCACTTCTTCCCAAAAACTCCATTGGGAATCAGATAGTTGTTATACTTACTAATTTGGAGGGATCACGATTCTTATCTGACTCTCTGTTCTTATCTTACTTCTTGTCCTGTGATAAGACTGTATAATTTTCTTCATGATGGACCTATAATTAATTCTCTCATAAAATTTGTTTCTAGGCATTTTGTAATTTTTGTTGCAATTCTGAATGGATTTCCCCCACTTCTACTTCTAATTAGTCAGTGTAGAATAAAAACTATTGATTTTTTTTGTGTGTAAACTATTGATTTACTTTGTGTCCTATCACTTCCCCAATTTTCTTATTAATCCTAGTGGGTTGTTTTAGTAGACTCTCTTGGACTTTCTTGCTATACCATCACACCATCTGCAAGTAAGAGAATTTCTTCTCTTTTCCAATAGTAAGAGTTTGTTTTGTTTTTGTGCCTTATTACATTAGTTAAATACTATACAAGATTATGAATGATGGTGATGATGGGTATTCCTGGTTTGCATCTGGATAGAACATAGCTTCAGTGCTTTATCAGTTAATATAATATTTGATTTCGACTTTTTCCTCTTTTTGGTAATTTTATAATTTTAAAGTAATTTCCTTTTATTCTTATAATACTTAAACTTTTTATTTAGCAGGTATTTTTAACCTTGGAGAGGAAGACATTTTAAAGCAACGTAGGCAAAAGACATGCTTAAGTTCACAAGAATTACGAAAAAAAATGGTTTTTGAATGGCAAAATATTATATAAAATGAAAAGTCAAGGAGGAAAATATTTTCAACCTATTTAATATCCCTAACACATCAATAAGAGAAAATCATTTAAGAAAAAATGAGCAATGGATTTAAACAGGTAATTTTTAAAAGAGGAAACCTAAATAATCAATGAATAATCAAGATAGGAAGAGATACTCAAATGTACAAATTAAAATAATAAAATGTCATTCTCCATCTAGTATACTTGCCAAAGTAATAACTACCAGTACTATTCATGGCAAGCAAGGATGCAGGAATAAATGAGTATAAAAGACTGTAACACTTTTGGAATATAGTTTGGCAATGTCTATTGAAATTTAAAACACACGAACCTACTTTGGGAAACCTACCCCCTGGTAATAAAAGCATCATATACATAGAGGGGTGTTTCAGTATTGCCTGCAGTATGAAAAGCCAGAAACATGTGGAATGTCTATCAATAGGTGAATAATTAAGTAACAATACAGGATATAATGGGATTTTATTAAGCCATGAAAAATAATAAGTAAAATCTATATCTACTGATCTGGAGAGATGCCCCATGATATTCTTTTAAGTGAAAAAAGCAACGTGCAGAGTTATGGGTAAGAGCCTATTTTTGTTACTAAAAACAAAACAAAACATAACCCAATGTCAAGTATATGTTTATAGGAGCAGGGAGAAAGGGGTTTGTTTGAGATGATGGCAAGAGGAGAGATTTTAATTTTTCATACACTTTTGAATTAATTTGTTAACATATATTATGTGTGCTTATGTAATTAAAAATTAACCAAGAGAATTTAAAGGAGGAGGAAATGGAACCTGCCTCGGAAACATCAATGCATTTCATTTGATGTTTTGTGGACTGAAAAGTTCATGGCTTATATCTATTGATTACTTTTCCTCCTTCAAAAGGGCAGGAGCAAGAAAGTAGGGTGGGCTGGAATGGGGGGAGAAGCTGGGAGCCACAGGTATACCAGCCCAAGGGCTGGGAGAGGGAGAGGGAGAGAGCTGGAGGAACAGGGGGTGTGTGGAGGGGAGTAGGTCAGAGAGAATGCGCTGGTGTCAGAATCAGCTCTGGTGCCAGGGAGCAGAGACTTTGGGGCCGAAGGGGGCTGCCCCTGGGGTCCCTGAGGCAGTGGCCTGGGATGAGAGACTCTACCGGAGAGTATCCGGTAGCCGCCTGAGAGCCTCTGTGAGTGCACACTGGGTCTGGGGTGGCCAGGGGACCCACGCTCAGTAAAAAAGCACAGATCCTGGCTTCTGCACAGGCTCATCAGGGAGGACCAGCACAGCCACCCAGGATCGGCTCAGAAGCAGCAGGGGCAGTCGGCCTGCGGGGGGCTCTCTGGCGCCCTTCCTTGCAAACCGGGGACACTCTGGCGTCTACGCACTGAATGGCTCTGCTTGTCCTGCCTCCTCCACCAGCACCTGTTCCTGCCTGCCCCCCTGACTGTGGTTGCCCCAAGTTCAGTCCTGCCCACCACAGGCAGCCCACCCATCCCTGGTGCACCCTGCTCTTGGTGGGTGCAGACACCGCCTGAGCCTCCACAACCTGCCAGAGCCATCAGCCTTCGCGGTCCTGCTGCCCCTGGAGGAGACACGGGGGCCACCTGTCGAGCAGAAGGGCGGCCTCCTCTGCCGGGCACTGGAAGGATGATCACAGCCTGTGACGGGCCTGGCACAGGCCGGGCCTTGTGCTCCGGGAAGCAGAGGGAGAGCGAGTCCACAGAGGGGCCTCCACATGGCCTGGCCTCACTCGGAGCGTACGGGCTGCTGCTTCCTCACCCACGTAACCGAAAGGCCATCTGTGTCTGTGTGGCTGAGGAGGAGAGGGCATGTGCATGTGTGCGCGTGTGTGCACGTGTGCACCATCAAGATGCCAGAGCAGAAAGCGCACCGAGGGCCCCTCTGGGTGGGGGCCTCGGGCCTCCCCTCCTCAACCCACTCAGCCACATTCTAGACCTGACAGTGTCCACAGCTTCTGTTTCCACGGCTGCGTCTCTCCCCTCGGCCTGAGGGACCCTGACTCACCCTGACTGGGCTGGAACCCGAGAGAGCCCAGCTCTGAGGGTGGGAACGGGAAAGAAGGGAGGAGGGAGCCGCTTCTCCAACAAATTCCCCCAGGCTCCCTCCAAGGCTGGCCAGCCACAGCGCCCCCGCGCGCCAGTCCCAGCCTGCTCCCCTCACTCTGCCTGCCAGTCTCTGCCTGCAGGTGGTCCCTACAGGGCTTGTCTGTGGCAGTGAAGGCAGGGACGGTGAACTCATGGCCAAGGAAGGCCTGCTGCTGCAGAAGGAGCCGAGTGATGCCGAGGAAAAGGTGCCCGGAGAACAGATGCCAAGGTGCTAATTGCCGGTGATGTTCGGGAGGGCAGACCTATAGGGAATTTTTTCCTGCTAAATTTTATCTTTTGACAACCTTCACAATTTTATAATAAACATGCCGTACTTCTGTAACAAGAAAGAAAGAAAAAAACCCCCCCAAATGGTACAAAGACAGGCAGCTGCCAGGTCATAATCCAAAGACAGACGCCGAGGGCCCCGCGGAAGCAGCTGCGTGTCTATTTTCTTGGGTCTAAAAGCCCTGCGTCAGGATGAACCCCTCACCCCTCTGGCCTTATCTCACTTCGGACCCTCAGTCCCTGAGTCTTGGGCTGAAACTCAGGCACTTTGGGGCAGAAGGAGCCAGAGCCCAGAGGGCAGGACGCTGCCTTTTGGTCCCAGCTCTGCCACACAGGAAGCCCTTCCTTCTCTCTGGGCCTCAGGCTACTCATCTATAGAATGGGGCTACTAACCACCTGCCCTGTCCACTTTTGGAGCCTGTTGTGAGACCAGGAACTTTGAAAGCAAAACCATGAACATTAAAGCATCTTGCAAGAGACATCTGCCACGCCAGGTACTATGCTAATTACCAGTGGGCGGAGCTCCCCTTCTGATGGTGGGCACCTGGAAGGCACCCACGTCCGGGCAGCCACCACAGGGCTCAAGGCCACTTTCCACACTAGGACCAGGGAAGCCAAGAGCCCCCTTTATTGAGACACAAGACGAGGGTTGAAAAGAGATGATATAGGCCTACCTCGAAAAGACACATTTTCATACTTTGCCCAAAATCTCAACTGACATCACATTTCTGCAAAGATCCAGTGCTGTTCACGGCACCCCCACCCCCAGGTTAGCGCTTGTTTGTGAAACAGCCCCTCAGGCTGCATACAACCACTGTGCTGAGGTCCAGCCACCCACGTGGGTGCAGGCGGGGAGTCGGGGCACAGAGAGGGATGAAACACCAGTGTGAGCCCCGAGGAGAATGTGGCGGCCTTGGCCTGGTGCCCGCCCGTGGCACCGGCTGGCTGATGGCCTGAAGGTCAGGAGCCTTGGCCTGGTGCCCGTGGCACCGGCTGGCTGATGGCCTGAAGGTCAGGTGCTATCCCAGGAGAGGGGACAGGGGGTCTTACCTCTCCCACGGGCCCACGTGTAGACTCGACTGGTCTCCGTGCTTCTGGGCTCTTGCTCAGCCGGTTCCACAGGCAAAGGTCGTAAGTGGGGGTAATCAGCCCGGCCGGGGGTCTTCAGGGGCAGGATGTACTTGGGGAGCCCTTTGTAGAACCAGGCCCCCGACCTCTTCCAGACCTAAGGGGGGAGACACTGCTTAGAGCCCAGATGCAGAGCAGCTCCCTGCTCCAGGCTCTCACGCAGACCCCCCTCCCCTCCTGGTGCTAAGTTGGAATGTGGAATGTCTCAGTAGGTGCCCCCGGCTTCCTCCTGCCTGCCCCTTCCCCGGGGGCTCAGGTGGCTGGAGGAAGAGGCGGGCTGGGCCAGCAGGGACTGGAGCTGTCTGGACAGGGACTCCGGATGAGACAATCCGCAGAAGGCACAGAGAGGGCCCGCATCTCCGGGACAGACACAGAGCAGAATTCAGAGCAGCAACGGAGAGAGGCCCCTGCACCCAACGCCTACTTCCAACCACAGCCAGTGCTCCCCAATCTCCGTCCAGAGGAAGGAAACACACTGTGGCCTGCAGCAGGAGTGGGAGTGTGAAGGGAGGCGTGACCCTTTCAGGCAAGAGGAGGCCTTGGCGGCTTGAATCCTGGCTCTGTCACCCAGAAGCTGTGAGCTCTGGACACACCCTGACCCTGTTTCATCACCTCAGTGTCATCACCGGGATGTAGGAACAGTGCCCGTCTCCCAGGGCGGCATGAGGATCAGACGCGAAAATGAACGCAGGCCCAGGGCCCAGTGCCGGGCACAGAGCAGCCACTCAACAGAGGATGCTCACGACTGTCACTGTCCCCCTCCTCCTCTCATCCGACAAACGTGGCCAGCTTTTCGGCCTGTGGACCAAGTCTCCTACTCAAAAGGGAGAATTTAAAATGAGGCCAGAGTCTCCCGACTTCCTCCGCACCGCGTTCGTTCCGTGGGCTGTTAACAGGGACTCCTCAAACAACAGAAACAAAGGGTCCTAACGACGCACACGGGCAAGCACTGGGTTGAACCAAGCGGTGACGGCAGGAATTCTCAGAGCCTTGACTGCGCCAAGCCCACCGGGTTCTCCAACAGGACGAACCACACCCGCTTCCCACTTGAAACCAACCCGCCAAGTTTTCATAGAGAAACTCAACCCTGGTCCAGGGTCTGCATAAACTAAGCCCTTCGCGGTACAGCACCGGCTGCTCACTCAGTGCGTGACGGGCATCTGTTTCTCCCAGCGGCCAGCAGTCACCTCTTTATGCCCCAGAGTGCGGGGCACGGGACCAGAGTCCAAGCCCTGTCCCCGGCACGAGTCGCTCACCCTCCCTCCCAGCTACCTTGTGCAGAAGGGCCTGCTTTTGTGGGGCCCTTGAGTAACAGAACCCGTCTGGTGGATGACTGCTTCGCGGGGCCCCCTTTGAACCTCGCTGGTCCTCTCGCAGCCCTCCTACAATACGTAACTATTATTTGAATGGGCAACACACGCACATGATTTAAAATTCACAAAGCACACAATCGAAAAGTCTCCTCCCCATTCCCAGAGGCACCTGGTGTGTTAACAGTCTCTGAGGAAGTTCTATTATTATTCCCACTTTCCGGATGGAAAAACTGAGGCCCTGACAACTTAAGCAACTTGCCCGAGGCCAACCCATCACTCTATTGGCCTCTCCTCCGCACTGGAGGCCGCAGAGTCTCACCCCGAAAGTTTACAGATGCTCACTAAGCGGTGGCTGAGCGGTGATGAATCTTCAGTGGGTTCTCAGCGTGGACACTAAGCGTCCTGCAGGATGGACGCCCGGAGGGGAGGGAAGTGCCGTACGGGGAGAGAAAACTCACATGAGTAGCAGCGGCCAAGGCTGCCCTGTCCCTGCAGAGCTGTTGCCTGGCGCCCGCGTGCAGGTGCCCCAGCGGGAGGCAACGGGGAGGGTGAGTGACTCACTCCCTCCCTCTGCTAAGCGAAGGCCTGCTCATCCATCAGCCCTGGCTTTGCCTGCCCCCCGCCGAGCACGCCAGCCTCCTGTCCCCCAACAGGGGCTGGGCCTTGGGGGCCGCGGGGGACCAAGCAAGAAGCTCTCGAGAGCCATGTGTCAACGGCGGGGCTGGGTTGGCTTAGGACCCCACACACTGCCTCCCCACCCCTGCCATGGAAACTGCACCCCCCCCCCTTTAGAAGAGAAATGCATACACAGACTACAAAATGAGGACAATAACAGAAAAGTCAAATAAAGCAACTTTAGGTCACTCGTAACATTGCCACACAGAGGGAGCCCCGTTGAGCGCTGTGCTGTGAATTCTCTTCTACACCCTTTTCTGGGCATATGCACTTTTTTTTTTTTTTAAAGAACTTCATGTAGTTTGTTTTTGCCCCCACTTAACTTTATATCGTAGCTGCTGTTCTGTGTTAACAGTAATGGTCTTCACCATCAGGTTTTCATGGCTCCACAGTTTGGATTTGTGAAATTTACACTAGCCCCCCACGGATGGACATGTAAATTGTTTCCAGTTTTCCCCTTGGGAGCGGAGCTGCAACCATCACTTGCACACACGTCATCACAGGTGTCAGTCACTGCCTGGCAACATCCAGGGAGTGGAACTGACTGCCAGGTCAAGGGGTATGTGTTCATGAGATATGGTGTACGTTTTTTCCTCCAGGAAGAAAAGCTGAGTCCCCAGCCTAGCCAGTTGGCTCAGTGGATAGAGCGTAGGCCTGCGGACTGAAGGGTCCCAGGTTCGATTCTGGCCAAGGGCATGTACCTTGGTTGCAGGCACATCCCCAGTAGGGGGTGTGCAAGAGGCAGCTGATCGATGTTTCTTTCTCATTGATGTTTCTAACTCTCTATTCCTCTCCCTTCCACTCTGTAAAAAAATTCAATAAAATATATTTTAAAAAAACCCCTGAGTCCCCAGTGGGGTGCTAAGTGTCAACCGCACTACCTTTGCTGGTGGGATCCAGGGTCTGGTCTGGGGGCCCGGCTCAGGAGCAGTGCCCCTGGGGTGATGGGCTGGGGGAGGCCTTGTCAGGTCCTGAGGTCACCAGAGTTAGGTGCTGCAGGGGGACGGGTAATGGGGACCTGCTGCCACCTAGGGGGCACCCCGTCTCAGGTGGAGGGCACACTCCCCTCTTGCCTGGCCAGCCTAGATCCTGTTTGAAGGGAAGTGGCTGGGACCACCCTGAGGGTGACTCAGAGATGTGGCTCACTCTTCATTCTCGTGTGGTTTTCAGCTTTCAAGTGGGATCATATAGTACAGTCACAGTCCTCAAGGTTCATCCATGTTGCAACATGTGTCAGAATTTCCTTCCTTTTTCAGGCTGAATAATATTCCATTGTATGGATATACCACAGTCTGTTTATCCGTTCATCTGTTGCTTCCACCTTTTGTCTGGCACTTTCATCTTTATCTGTCTCTCCCACTAGGATCTACCACCCAGAGGGAGGGGCAGGGTGCTTTTGCTCACTCCACTGTATCTTCAGGCTCCCGGCACACTCCTGACATAGTAGGTGCTCAATAAACATTGTTGAGTGGCTGAACTGGCAGCATGGGTTGTTGGTTGGAATGTGTTCCTTTCCATAGCCTGCTGCCTTCCTGGCGAAGTGGCCTGAGGGTTTCATCCAAGTTCTTGCAATTAATCAAGTGGATTGACTGTTTCAGATTAAAAGAGGAATAAAGAGGAAGGGCCTGCCAGTGCAGAGCAAACTGCCGTGAGCCTCCCTGACCATGAACTCCAGAGCACAAGGCAGCTGCATGCTCCCAGTCCCTCCTCCAGCACCAGGGAGACCCACAGCCCCAGCTGCCTGCCCAACCTGGTTATTTTATCACAGTCAGGCGCCACGCCATCAGCCTCACCTCCTGTTGCAACAGTTCATCTCCACCCCTCTCCCCCGCTTAAAAAACACTGATCAGCCAAATGCTTTTGGAAAACAGTATAACGAGCACAGGATTTAAACTATTAGGTTGAATTGCATGGAACAGCTGATACACCATTCTACCTTTCTAATGGTATTCAACCACTTTTGACCTATAACCCCCCTGTCAACTTCATACAATTCACCCCGATATTCATGCTCAGCGGAGGCAGGGATCCCACGGGTCTGCCAGCCTGCAGTGCCTCCCAGGGCCCAGTGGGCAGGCCAGTTACTCCCCGAGCCCCCATAACGGGGCCTGAGGGCTGTCTGCTCCCCTCCGGCTAGCACTGAAGTCCGGTGGAGGCCTCATGCCATCACGGTGGGCAGAGACCTGACCAGCCCAGACTGGCTGGTGACCCTGGACCAGCTGGAGGAGCAGCACTTTTTGAGTCTTTCCGGCAGGGGACACGGGTGCATCGCCCCGCGTGGAGGGCACACCGGGGTGGAGGTGCATGAACACACGGTCAGTATTTGGGGAATGGCTTCCACATGGGAGAGCAGGACTGGTGAGGCGAGGCGTGAGGGATCCCAGCTCGGCTGAGTTCGGAGCAGCCACCCCTCCCCCCATGCCAATCCATGTGCATCCTCGGGCCTCCTCTCGCCTCCATGCCCACCCTCACCCTGCAAAATGCACAACGGTAACTTTTCACGTGGTTTCTGCTCCCTGCACCCAGGCCCACCCCCCACAGCCTGGCATCAGTGCCTGGACCCCTCCCCCAGCACAGTGGCAGGAAAAGCCTTTCGTGGTGTTAACCCCCCCTCCCCCTCCCCCGGTTAGGGCCACAGAGCAGGAGAGGGTCACTATCTGGAGAAGCTGTGCGAGGCTGCAGAGCCCCGCTCTGCTCCCCACGTGTGGTTTGCTGTGATAAGGCCAGCAAAGCAGCCGGCTTTGAAAATGCCATTTAATGAGGAAAGACCCCCACAGCCACCATGGCACTCGCCTGGGGTGGCCAATGGCATTAAGTCCTCCCCGCGGCACCGGCGTGTGCTCTGCTTCCAGGCTTTCATTACGATTTCAGGCACGGCCAGCCCGACTGCAGATACTGATGGATATTGGCCAAGCTGTGCCCAGGGAATTTTAATTACCACGATAACCATCGCTAATCACTGGCATTTCCTAAATGGCCGTGGCTGGAGAAGGTGGTCATTGCCAGGCCCTACTGGAAAGAAGGGGAGGCCTAGGGGACCTTCCACTGGGGAGGGCGGGCAGGGGCAGCCAACCTGTGTCCCCGTCCAGTGCTCCGCCCTCGTGTGTGT